TTCCCTATACGGGTACGTGCCGCCAAACAGGGTATGGTTTTTAGTGATTCTACTCTGGAACAAGGTATATAAAATCTCGCTTGCTCTGGAACAGGGTATATGAAGTCACGCTCTCTCGTCTCTGGAACAGGGTTTTCAGCGATCTTGCTGTGTAACAGGGTATGAATTTCAGCAATTTTACTCTGGAACAGGGTCAGGGTTCAGAGGGCTCAGCGGCACATCCATACCCTAAACAAGCAAGAGTACCCCACCCCCCCCCCCTGGGCTTCGATGACCAGTAATTAATATTTTTTTATTTATTTGTTTCTAAAGAGACTTGTAAAACTATATGACCTTTGGTTACAAGTGAAGCAGGATGAAAGAGAAGAAAAGAACCAGTATTTCAAAGAACGGTTGAACATACAGCATGAGCTTATTCAAAGGCAAGATCTACTTTCCAAGAAAAGACAATCCAAACTAAACGCCAAACTCCACAAGGTATGTAGTGTTACTGCCGTTTGCATTACTACGCGGCCACCCCACACAGGGAAAAAAAACGGATTCCTAAATTGGAAATTTGTTGGGAATTTCCTTGAATTCCCAACGAAATCCCATCCAATTCCCAGAGAGAACGAAATTGTGAAGGACGTGGCACTGATTCCCAATGTTAGTTTGTTGGGAATTTTGTTTTTCTATTGGGTATTAGAAGGAAATTCCCAACAATAAATCCCAACGTTGGTGTTCCAATTAGGAATTCAAGGAAATTCCCAACTATTCCCAATTTGGGAATCCGGTTTTTTTCCCTGTGAGACACAAATTGGGTCATGTAGTTTGCAATAGACTACCACCAATCATTCATGTTGATGCCATTTATACACGTTTGGATCAGTGAGTTGGCTTTTCTATCAAACTTTCTCAGTCAGATATCACGAAGGAAAGTTCCGAAAGCGATTGCAAAGAGTTTGAATACATCCAAGTAGAATGAGGTGTTTGATTGACGGCAGTCTATTGCAAACTACACGACGCAATTTGTGTCTGGGGTGGCCTCGTAGTAATGCAAACGGTGGTAATAGCCCTACAAATGCATGTATGACTGTATAGATTGTATTCACTGATGTCATGTAAGTTGAGTGTTGTGTGTTGTAAATATAGAATGTAATGGCAGTGCATGTGGAGGGAACCTCACGGAAGAGCCCCGTATGAGGAGTAGTGGTGAACGTAAATTTATATTTTTTAAAGTCATCATTAAATTTTCTAGGGGGGGGGGGGTTAATTGTTAAAGCCTAGCATACAACTGCCTGGTGGATAGTTAGATGGGTTGGATGGAGATAGGAAGGGGAAAGGAGGGATGGATAGATAAATGAATGAGAGATGGAAATAATTAAGGAAAATGGATGGTATCTAATGGATCAACGAAAGTATCTTCCAGTCGCAAGGAATGTCTACATATTAATATATTCAAAGCTGAAGCAACAAACACAACGAACTGTTGATATAATCACAAAGGACCATAAAATGATATGCAAATTAGTACAAATTCACGAATGAATGATCGGTTGTCAAGTGAAGCTAGATCATAACTAAGGAGCATTTTTTCTTACTCGGTCAAAATCATCAAAACTAAATAGCAAAGATCAATATGTTGACTTAAAAAAGCAGTTTGGTGATATTTTTGTTTCAATTAAACAAAGTTTGAACTTGACATAAAATTTTCCTTAAAAGTCACTTACGTTAAATGTAGGCCGTTTTCGCACGTAGCCCTTCAAATGTTTACTTTTTGTAGCCCTAATGTCAATGGAAAGGTATTTTTTAAATGTGATCTTAATACAGTGCAACAACTGCAATCAGAACCACTTACATCAGTTAGACAAGATTTAGACAAGAGAAGCAAATTAAAATGTAAAATGAAAACAATGCATTCAAACTTTGGGTAGTGTAACCAATTAGAAAGCTAGACTGCACACAAGAATGATAATTTGACCTTTATTTTACGCGTAAACAACTAGATAGATAGCCATCGTCATTTTGTAAAAGGAAATGAAAAGCCCGGGGGGGGGGGTGTTCCCCTATATTTGCTATACGGGTATGTGCCGCCCTATAGGGTATGGTTTTTCGGCTTTTGGGTCTGGGGTAGGGTATAATTTTTTGACATTTTGTCTGGGATAGGGCATTGTTTTAGTCTGGGATAGGGTCAACGATTTGGTCATTTTTGTCTRGCGAATATGCTACGCTTTCTGCCGGCACAAAAACAATAAAAACGTTAGTAAATATTGATTGCAATCTGTTGAAAAACCGTCTTTTCCCTCTTTTGGTATAGGGTGTACAATTCTTAGTTTTAGTCTGGGGTAGGGTATGTAAAATCAAAATTTTAGGTCTGG